CCTCAGGACACCCAAAACTCAAAAACTGCTGTGATCAGCCTGAATGAGAGTAATTGAAGGAGTGGGAGTGTGTACCCTTCCCCGTCTCTCCCTTAAATTGGGTGTTATTACCGACAAACATCAAGAGGGGGCAACAGCGCCGCATACAAATACCCGCCGAACTGCGTGGCCTGTGCCTCCATCATATCGTAAGCCAGCATTGTCCAGTGCAACAAAATCATCGCCCTAATCCTTCTCCCTGAGCTGATAAACACTGCCACAGGGAGAACATAGTGCATATAAGACTTCACATAACAGCACCCTAAGAACAAATGGGCCAGCAACATAACCAGCAAGTTGCTTAACTAATACAAGAAATGAGTATAACACATTATTAAAGCACGTGTATCTCAACCCTTCCGCCCCACGTTGGGCGCCAAAATATTGTCTTGGGTCAGGGCCACCACCACGTGGTCGCAACCCCCCGCCTCCTCTCCCGGTAAGATGGGGAAGGATAAGAAAACTGGAACCTTGTGAGTTGAGCTAACGAGGGATTTTTAATAATACCACACGAGGAAAGCAAAAGAAAGGAGAATATAACAATAAGACAAGATACAGAATACAATGGAAACACTGATACAATGAAATCCTCACCACCAAGAGCTTCACAAAAGAGGCCCCTCTCCCGGCTAGCTTCTCCTTATATCCCCGGCTTGACGTCAGCATGGTATCGAATATCCCTTTGGCTATGCCCACCTCCCAGCTTCTGTGAAGAATTAACCCTATCCCAGCTGGACCCAGGACAAATTTGTTGATGCATATTGTGAAACAAAGGAGTGCTTGGTTGGCATGGGCGCAAAATCCATTTGTCTCAACAGTCTGCCTCCAGTATTGGTCAACAGCAGATACATAGAGAAAAGTGTATAGGAAAAGGAAAAGAATACATACTGTTTTCCCCAAGTGTTTTTATACCTCCCTTTGCTTTAAGTCTGCTGCCTTGTACCTTCATTTATAGGTCCCTGCTTTTTGCGATGAATGAGACCATGACTGTGTATTCTTTACTCTCTATCCTGGCTGTTCCTGGCTTTATTTCTTTATCATATTCCAGCTCAACTGTGGTTTTTTTTCCAGGGTGAATGGCGGTAGCCTGCCTGATGGCTCCACAGAGCAAAGGAAGAAGCAGATGCTGCAAGAACTTATAATCATGTTCTCTAATTTTGTTCTAGTTTCTTTTTGAAATGAGCCCAGTATACATTTTGTTTTAAACATCAGTCTGAGGTTTGTGTAGAACTGTGTCACACCAGCCTCTCAGTGCTGAAGGGTATGAGGCAGCTGAGACCCCATTGTGTTTATGTGGATGTTGGACTATTTTTTGCCTCTATAAATGTATGTAGGATAGCTTGCTACCTATAGTACCACTACATTAACAGTGATCTTTCATGAGTCTCAATTCTTTCTTACCAGGGCCCTGTCATGCCTGGCAGCCACTCTGTTGAACGATTTGTAATAGAAGAGAACCTTCACTGCATCATCAAATCCCACTGGAAAGAGAGAAAGACTTGGTAGGAAAAACTTAGCACTGTGGGGCCTTGCTGCTTTTTATATGCTGCCATGGCTTTGGTGGCATCAGGGATATGCAGAGTCGTGGACTGGTTAGACAAGACCTCAAGATTAAACATTTACTACAGGATTGAAACTTGATTTACTGCATTTAAATATATTAAAACTGTTGCATGGAATACTGTGGGTCTGTAATATCCGGATAATGGATTGACTGTATGATCCAGGGGGATAGTGGCTCCCTGGGAAGGGAATTCCCTGATAATACAGGATGTGCTGCAAAAAATATGCAGACACACCTTATTCTTCATGGAAGCACTGTGGAGAGTGTGGTTGTGTTACCCTTCCTGGAATTTAGAAGCAACTTGTCTGTTGGGGCACAGTGAGCCTTTAACTGGTTCATCCGCAGCTGACCATGCACTGCTGTTTTTGAACACGCTTCTTCCTACTCCTCCTCCTTGCATTCTTCTCTTTGGGATTATGTGGCAGAGAGAATGGAGCTTGCTCTGGAGGGTTATTGCAGGGCCAGCAAATTTCACTAGTTTGAATTCAGCCCTTCCAGGAAACAGTCAGGGCACTTTTCTTCACTTCTGCCTGAGCAATATCTGATGTGGGTAATTGATAACTGAGATGGTTTGCCACAGGTAATTGGCTGTGCCATGCTTCTAAATTAAAACTACCAAACTTTGTGTAGTATGCAAAAAATGGACAGAAACAATGTTTTTGGTGCTGGAATGCAATCAAGTTTTTTGGTTGCAGCTGTTTGATTCAGCAGAAGCTAGAAATTTAGGGTTGTTGCAGTTAGGGGGATAGTCTTTATTAATTCTCAGAGGAAAGTAAAAGACTAGAGGGAGATACAAGATTTGCCAGAGAGGTAGAAATAAAATCAAGGAGGCAGCAGTTCTTTGCTTTTTAATAATGATAGGTGATAAGGAGCTGATTAAAAGATGAAGCATTTGAAGCCCAAACGTTTCTTATAAAACCCATTAGCTTAATTGTACTTTCAGGTCATTCTGAACATCTGTTGTTTGGGTCTGGTTTTTTTTTCCTTTTCATTATGCATGCCGGAATTACAGGTCACCATGGCTATTTATGCAAAACTATTTTGTGTAGCAGTGTAGTGTTCAAGTGATGTAACTACATAGAGATAAAATACATCATTACAAATCATACTTTAGGCAATGCTGATGTGTTCTTGTGCTGTTCTAAGTGTTCCATGTAACTGACAGACAGACTTTGGAAGGATTGTTGATTTGTTTCTGCTTCTTTTGTGTTCCCAGAATGAAGCGTTTTATGTAACTTTGTTACTTGATCTTTATATCACATTTGCTGTGTTATGTTCTGAACTAAATGTATCTGTTTTTACAGTGCTGCACAACTGTTGAGCTATCCAGGAAATAACAAGATCCCCTTGAACTACCACATAGTGGAGGTATGGATTTTATAGATAACCTCTTTTGTAGCTCCGTTATTTCACAAGTAACATGCCCCGGTTAGTTCCCTGATAGGTCTATTAAATTACAGTTTGATTTGGGAGTCGACCAGAACCTTGTTGAATTCAACCAATGGCCTTTAAATGAGCAGGTTATCTACAGTTGAGTGTTAGTTTTATGGTTTTTGTTGTGATTTTAACTTGGTGCATGGGAGCGTTGGTCAAGTGCCAAAATATCGTGGTGCACTAGTAATCCAGGTTGTGGCATTTCTCAGTCTTTCGAAGTTTTACATAAGATGCTTCTAATGTATCACATGGTCTAAGAGATGGTTACATTTGAGTCACGTTTAGTTTAAAAAAAAAAGTTGAGTTAAAATACGAGAGGAAATGGACACAAATAGAAATACAAGAAACTTCATTTAAACATAAAGAAAAATCTTTTTTTTTACTGTGAAGGTGATTAAACTCTGGAAGAATTTGCCCAGAGAAGTTGTGGAGTCTCTATCCTTGGAGAAGTTCAAAACCTAGCAGAACGCAGCCCTGAGCAACCTGCTGTAGGTGACCCTGCCTTATGCAGGGGGCTTTTAACTAGATGATCTCGAGACAGACTCAAGACATTCTGCATGATTTTATGTTTGGATCTTCTAAATGATTTTCTACTGATCCTGAAAAAGTGAAATAGCAGTGCGTTTCCTCGAGGGCATCTTACATATAAGAGAATTTTAAATAATCATAATGTGTATCAGAAGAGCAGCATAGGTTTTCTTTTGCTGCCTCCTTTCAAGGGTCTGTTTTCAAGATGCAGAGCTGTATAAAACTTCATTAATTCCCATCAAAAGTTGAAAGGAAGAGCTTTCACTAATAATGACAATTTGACATTTAAAGGCTTTATGAAGAAGTAACTATAAGTAGGAATTTCAAAGCTAGTTATAACAAGAAATAATCGTATGTAGAAGATTTCTCTTTATAAAGGTGGGACTGAGAATTCCTCTTGACACCAAAATGCCAAATGTTCTCAATGCTGTAAATTTACGTTACTTTTGGTCAGCTTGTTCTTTTTGTACTCTGAATTCAGAACAGAGGAATCTTCAAAGTAAAAACAATTTTCTGCCTTAACGTCAAGGTATCTTCAGTTGTCTTATCTTCATCATTTTGAGGTGCAATGTATGACTTTATGGCTGTGTTCTTTATGCTCAGCTGTGCACTAATGCCAACAAATTGTTACTGAAACTCCTGATGAAATAAGTTACATAAAGGTCCTGGAAATTTTTTTAGTCAGAAACTTGTAGGATGTGAAAATAGCAAAGGTTTGCATAGATTAAATTACTGGAAAGAAGTGCAAGATTGGTACACAGATTGTTTGACTATTAATGTAATAATTTCCTTCTTCTTGCAGTTTTGAGTTATTTTAGAATATTAGCTTCGTTACTTCTCTATGACTGCTTACTATTAGTGAAGCTCCAGAGTTGTTAAAGCTTAGCATGTTATTTTCAGGCTTCTGTTCATTCTGCTTACTACTGCTCCCTTGTAAGGTCTCTTAACAGTCAAGTTGATGATATGTTGCTTTCAACAACAGTCTAACAGGTTAATCTGTGAAATTTCACTAACTTTTTCAGTAAGTCACAGAACTGTAGAAATAATACCATCTAACAACAAAAGGAAAGTGTTATTTAAGGTTCAGAACATAAGTTAGGCAGAAGTAAATGTAGCCTGAAAGTGGTTGTCAGTACCTTCCCAAGTGTGCCTACTTTTGAGGTCCTTGAGGCTCCATGTCATAGTTTGCCAGGCCAAGCACAGAATGCTCCATGCTCCCTGGAATCTGCGCAAAACACTGAAATAGATGTGTATGTGGGTATTTCCAGCAGCTGTGAACAGAGAATGGGCAGCGTCATTGGCTTGTTGGACTGCTATGCTCTGTTGTGTTCCTACAGCTTTTGCTACAATTTGCACTCAACAGAGCTCAGATACTCAGATCATCAGTGTCCTGATCTTTCTTGTGGCCTTGTTATTTTCACAAAATATGGTATGCCAGTTTGAAACACTTAATTTGAACAGTTAATAAGGAACACGTGAATTAATATCACAGATACAGGTATCTGAAACAGATAATGACAGGTCATGCAGTTGTTATTTCTTACCCTGAGAAAAGGAGCAGTTTTCTACCTTACAGGGCCCCCTCTGCCTTTTTTGCTGTATCCATCTTAAGAGAATGTCCAAATTACATAATGGAAAGGTCCTCCAGCTCCTTATAGTTTCTTCATGCTTTCAAGTCCTTTCTTAAAATAGCAAATTCTAGTCAAAGTGTTTCCATGTGCTGTTTGTGGATTCCATAAATGGATGTTGATTTCTTACACTAGTAAGATGATTTTCTAAGTCTTACTTATTTAAGCTTCAGTTCTTCCACGTTTATTCAGAAGTCTAAAGTTAAAGAGGAAATTGACCAACTGTAATGAATCCAAGTTTTCCTGATTCCTTTGATGTAATTTAAATCCAGTTGAGAACGGCATGCAAAATAAACATAAACTCAGAGATTAGTGTGGTGCAATGATGATCTTCTCATAGCTGTCGGAGATTCACATGCTGTTATTATAGGCAAACTTGAAAATAAAAACATGAATTCTGCTTGTAGGATTGCTTTCAGCTTTCTTAAAAGGATCCTCTGACAAGGGGTACTGAGCATATATTTTTGTTGTATGAAGCGCTGGTTGTAATTTTCAGTTGGAAGTTGTGGCTTTATGTTAGTTTTTGTATAGGAGAAAAGAGGACACTATGGAAAAGATGTAATTGTAATGCCATAGTCTTTCATACTAAATATATAAGCTTCATTTAGTAAGTTTAATATATATATTTATTACTTAACAGGATCAGATTATTTATGCTTTTCTGAGATCATGTGGCAGCACTGCAGTAGGTCATATTATAACTATGCCCATTTCTACAGTTACATGGTATATTTATTAGACATAATAGATGTGTAATGCTGGTGTTGTGTTAGTATGAAATTAATAAGGGCAGTTAGAGCGCACTGTTTTAGTACAGTGTAGGGTTACCACTGCTTTTATAAATGTCTCTCTCCTTTTCTCGGAACATGCATTTGGCAGAATAATATGGGCCTTTTGGGTTACATAATTGATTAAGATTGATGGCTGCTATTGTGAAGCTGAGGGTTGTGCATGCCATGTCAGACTGTGCTCTGATTCTGTGCCTTCCTTTCCTACAGGTGATATTTGCAGAATTGTTTCAGCTTCCATCTCCACCACACATTGAAGTCATGTACACAACGCTTCTGATTGAACTGTGCAAACTTCAGCCTGGCTCTTTACCACAAGTTGTATCCTTTCTGCGCTGCTGGAGAGCATTTATAACATGCAGTCTTTTTTTTGTTTGTTCTGTAGATAATGGATAGCAATAAATGCTGTCAATATTAGTATTTTACAGCAGCTGCATGAAACTTTGCCTATAACATTCACATGAAAGAATAGCACAGCCCACTTAGCACAGGTCTAGATTTGGCAAGTGGGCAAGACTCTTCAGCTTTCTGGACTCCTCTGACCTTCCCAAGAAGTGCTGTCTTGGTGAGCAGATAAAATACAATACTCCTGTTTGTCAGTGCAGCCTGTTTAGGTCTGGTCCATGTGTGGCATGGTCACAGACACATTAAAGGCTGAGAATTAAAGGAAGTGACAGACTTGATCTTTTGTTCTAACAACTGCGTGAGTGAGTGCTCCTACTCTTTTTTTTTAGTAGGAAGTTTAGCAGACGATTTAAAGGAACTTGCCTGAATTCCTGCTCAGTGCTCCCACTAGGAGCATTCAAAAGGTCAATAATCATCTGTCAGTTTGGACAGGATGGCTAAATGCTGAGGAGGGAGGCATGACTCCCAGCTAATTCTGGCTATTACATTGCCCCTATTTTGCTGCCATTTTAGATCATGTTAGATCATTGTTGTAGATCAAGCTACAGACTGAGAATGGAGGACAGTTAACAAATGTCTATTCACTGGTAGTTTCATGCCCAGATTTTCATTCTACTTCATGATAGCACTTGCTGTTTGCAGATCGTATAATCTCAATGAATAGAGCCAAGTCTCTCTCTAGAATTGGGTGAATGTCCATGCAGGAAGTTTTTAATGTTAATAGGGACACTGTAAAAAGGATAAGGGTCTTGTTGGATGAAGTCAGTGTAGACATGCTTTCTCAAGCTGTCAGTGATGATGAAAGATTTTGTCGATAAGCATCAACAGCAGCCTATGAAGCTAGACTGGTGAGATTACAGAAGTACTCCATAAGGAGACTGGTGTCTGTTCATATCAGTGCAGTTTTGCTTGTCACATGATACGAATACTGGCTTTCTGTGGAAGAAGCCAACAGTCTTGGTGCAATAATGGAAGAAAAACAGATTTGGATTAGAGAGGAGAACTCACAATATGCTTCATTTTTTTGCAACTATGGATTTACTGGGATTTACCTGATTTTTGGAGTAGACCCAGGGAGCTTTCAGTACAAAAAGTTGAAGACTTTCTATTAAAAAACTGAAAGGAATTACATTTGCCTTATCTGTCACTTTTCTGTAAACCTTAATAAGAAACTTTCAGCTTGCACAAGCCACAGAAATGCTCTACATGCGTTTAGATACAATGAATACAACATGTGTGGACAGGTAAATATGTTTTGGAGACTATGGAGAATATTCCTCAGTATCCAATGTACAGGAAAAATGAAGAGGCTATAGAAAGAGTAGTCAGAAATCCTTGTTAGAACTTCTTGATGCTACTCACAGTTATTTCTGGGCCCTGGCTTTGAGCAATCTAAAGAGAAGGTGGGGGACTGACTGCTTCCCTCTCCTTCCCAGAAGGCACTGCTCCAGAGGTCACAAGTCTATCTGTCTGTACAGGACAGTTAAGATTGGTGGCAACTTTTCAGTGTTCAAAGCTTTTCGGAGTTACACAGTAGTACTCTGTTATCTAGTACTATGCGGGCTTCCTGGTGGTCTGTGAGGCTGCTTGAAACTGTTTTAAATATGAAAGTTGCATATTGACAGTAAGTTTACATTTTAATTGTTAGTTTAATTGGTCACCTCTTTGTATGAAACAACAGAACATGACAGGCTGTTTATTTGTCCATAAAAACTTCTGACTCTCTGAAATCAGTCTTTTCTATCTGTCAACATAAATGCCTGTTTAATGCTGTAATAGCTTTAGAGTTTAGGCTAGCCTTTGAAAAGTAGAATGCATTTATAAGAAGATCTCAACAGAAAGTTTTCCTGCCCTTCTGACATTTAATGGAACTTTCTTTTTCTTTTAATAAAGATTTATTAACTGGTTTTCTCACCACTTGAGCAACTTTCAGTTCCGTTGGAGCTGGGAAGATTGGTAAGTTTCTTTCCTTTTGATTCGAACCTGATACTGCAAAAACCTGAAAATTTCAAATTTATTCAGGAAGTATCATAGCATAGTGGCCCTATTAATTGCTTTCCTTCAGCTCTTCACAGCTCTTTCTTAATCTGTTCAGCACCACTGTGTGGTAGATTATCGTGATAATCTCTTTAGTTACTGTATTGTCCCTGGTGAACGCGGTGATAAATCTCAAGCCAATGTAAGTATTCCCTAAACAGGGGAAGGAGAAATGTGATTTCTTTAATTTGTCCTGCACCCTCAGTCAGTTGCTAGCAAATTTTCCAAAATGACTCTCCGAATTAGTTATAATGGATTGCCTTGACTCCTTGTATCCTGTATTCACTCTGTAATCTTGCTCTCTGTATATTTCATTATAACCTTTATCTTTGAGACCTTGTGATCTGTTTCCCTCCTGCCAAATCCTTGTGCCTAAAGTTCCATCAAAACTGGCTGTGCCATCCATTCTTACTACACCAAATCTTGAACTCGCATCTCTAGCAGGAGCTCCCTGCACTCCACATCAATGTCTAACAATAGGGTTCCAGCCACCTATGTAGCAAGAGAGACCATCTTGGGGGTAAATCCTCCCAGCAGTAATTTCCACAGCCTGCTACTGTGCATGCTTTCCGTAGCTGATCTGCCCAAGTGTCCGTGTGGAGAGGGGTGCAGCCCTTCTTGTGATGTGTTTTTGTGGTTTTACTTAAGGTTCTTGTGTTGTCTTCATGTGCAGTTAAGTGCTTGCTGGCTATCCTAGTATACTTTTTTTCCAGACAGCAGTCTTCAAAGAGCTGATTTTTCTTTGCCTGGATGTTCCTTGATGGCAGCGCTTCTGTGGGTGTCTCTCACAAGCTGCCATTTTTCACAAATCTCTCAAGTGTCTGTATTTGAGACTTTTCTTTAGCTGAAATGCATTTGAAGTCAGACAGAAGTTCAGATATTCCTGTGAGGCAGGAACAGACTATGAAATCACACAAGGTTCCTTTCCTAAGGAAAGGGAAAGCCAGCTAACCATAAGCCCAAATTATTTTTAATCTGGTGGGGGAAGGGAAGCTACTTGAAAAATCTATCACACAGAGATGACATTCCAAGAATGCTAATGGCCAATAAGGAAATAGTGATAAACTTACCTCATTGTCTTGAAATTGCCTACACTGTAAAACTAAGTGTCAAGCACTCCAGTTGTCCTGAGACCATAATTGTTTTGTGCCTGTTAGACCAAGCCAAAAAGACACAAAAGCACTAATTATTTTGCTAAAGGCTATTGGATTCTGTCCTTTGATAGGTCAGATTGTCTTACTCAGGACCTTGAAAAGCCCAAACCCAAATTTGTGAGAGAGGTTTTGGAAAAGTGTATGCGGTAAGTAAGATCTTTTGATACTTGCATTCAAGGCAAAGTTTGATCTTTGCTTCTGGATACTGTCATATTCCTTTTTAACTTGACTCTTGTCCTAGGCATGCCTGTTCTTACAATTCAGTGTCAGTTAAGAGATGAGTCTGTTGATTGTATGATTTTAATCTGGTTTACCTGCTGTAGGACACTACTTTAGAGAGAGGGAGAAACAGGTGGAGCAGGTGGTAGTGAGCTGTCTATCCCAGGCATGCACATGTGTAGTTAGAAAAAGACATGCTTCATCATAAGCATGGAAAGAAACAGAGTTTAGGCAATATTCCTGGAAAGTACTCAGCATTTACAGAAATGGAGGGAGCTGATCATTACTTATACTAAAAAATGAGAATCTAATCCTGATTCTGCTAGGTGCCTCTGATGTTCATTGACCTTAAAACAAACAACCCTCCAAACAAACGAACAAACTCCAAAACCCAGCAACAAGAGTATACAATCAGGGTTGGCCTTAGAATTGTTGAGGTAGAGGGATATATGAGAAAGAAAGAGCAAAACATTCAGAAAGCCTGTGTTATTCACCATCCTGCATCAAAACATTCATCTGTTCAATATAGGAAGTGTGAAAGTATTGTGCTGCAAAACAAATGCCATCTTTCTGTGGCATTCTTCCATTGCACTCAAAACTCTGGTAGCAAAATTAAGCCTTTGTGGGAGTGAAATAAGCTGGAAAGTAAAATTAAGACATCCAGTTTAATATTTTTCCCGCTTTGAATACCAACGTCTTACTAGTTTTCTGCAGCGCAACTTAGGCTTTTGCATAAAAGATTGTACTAGGCAGCCTCTAAATCTTTTCACAAGCTAAATTAATTGTATGAGGATGAAACTGTAGCATCATGGAGTTCAAATAGAAAGCATCTAAGTAAATTCAGTTTACTTAGCTCTTACTACCCAGTAGAAACTACCCTTGTGTTATATAAATATCCTGATTTTTGTTTTATGAAAGTTAAATACAGGAAAATTATTATAAAGCAGGCACTTTAAAATTAGCTCTGGTGTTGTTCCCATTTTAATTCTACTGCTGTGAAACTTGTTATTTCCAGACTCTCCTACCATCAGCGAATAATAGACATTGTTCCTGCAAGTTTTTCTGTCCTCAGTCCTGCTAATCCAGTGTGCATTTACAAATATGGAGATGAAAGTAATAGTAAGTATTAAAGTTACTGAGGGGTCAAGTTGAAGAAAACAGTGTTTCAGAGTAAGGGAGCACACCAGATAGACTGTAGTATCAGTTGTCTTCATAAAGAAGAATACAACTGAGATAAATATCCATGATTTTCATATGGGTAAGTTTGTTTCACGTGAGCAATTAGTATATATTGAGCCTGGATCTCTGTCGTATAATCCTCTTTGTTGGTTGTGGTGTTGTGCAGCATTGTTTCCCAGAGGTAAGTATAAAATTGGAAGGTGCATTATTTCCCCTGTTTGGGCACAATACTATGCAAAAGTCAGCAAATGAAATGATAATGTGAGTTTATTTTTTGAACTTCATGAAACAGTAGAAGATTTTACCAGTAAACTTGGTTTAATAAAACACACAGAGGCAGCAGATGATTTAAAGATTGAGGTAGAGCGATACCTTATTATTCCTTTTATTACCCACTGTAAAGACAATCCTAGGCATAAAGGTGTCATCATCAAAGATACAGTGAGGAAAATAAGGAAATTCTGTATTTTTAGGAAACTGGTGGAAGCTGAAGTAGACCTTTAGACAGGAGAGTGATTACCTGACCTCAGCTCTAAGGTTCTACTGAAAGTTTTGAATTTAATGTGAAGACCAGGAAACACGTTGAACAGTTTTATGGAATAGTGATATGGACAACGATATTGGAAACAGCTAATTTTAGGTGTAGCTGAGAAGTGTACTTGTTTCTCTGAGAGGCAAACTGATGTTAAAAATACTTTCTTGCCTTCTACATATTTTTGACCTCTTTGCTTTTGTTTAGGGTCTCTTCCTGGATATACAGTGGCACTCTGTTTAACAATCGCAATTAAAAATAAGGCCAGTAATGATGAAATCTTCGGCATTTTAAAAGATGTGCCTAATCCAAACCAGGATGATGATGATGGTAAGATATGCTATTAGACTTTTGCAGGCTGCGATTTCTTTTGTGTGTAGACTGATCCGCCATCCTTTGGAGCTGTGAGTGTGGTGCTTAACAGAACTGTATTCCTTCCAATAGTTGTTTTCAATTTATCAGTACATGGAAATAATACAGCATTGTTAGGGTTTTTTATGTACACCTTACTTGCAGAGGCAGGCCTGTTTTTCTTAACAGAGGTAGCCTGGTGCTTGAGGTGTGTTTTCTTGTGATTATTGACAGACATAGCATAAAAGAGTTTAACATTTCCTTTGCCTTCAGCAACAGAGTGCAGTTCATGCTGTTACCCTCACCCTTCAGATTCAGTACTTGTGCCCTGTCTGAGAGCTTCCTTCCCCTTGGTGCCGTCCCACAACAGATAAGATAGCCAGCCTGCTGGCTGTAGTCTTCCATAGGTACAAACTCATGATGGGACACCAATCATGTTCTTTTTATCTCTGCAGCCACAGACAGCATTGATTCCTAAAGCCTGCATGTTTTAGGGAGTGAGAAGGAGTGCAAGGCAGAGAATTAAGAAGTGATGTTTACAATGGGGACGGTTTCAATATTTCTGTAATATTTGCAAGTGTTCTGTTATGCAAGCAGAGAGCAACAATGATCTGTTTTTTGCTCTGGGATCCACTGTCCTATTTCCTGATTTGCTTTAGGCATTACCTGCTAATGAGTGCTCTCCCTCCTGCCTGTCTTCAGGTGCAGGTAACTGCAGCTACAGGAGGGGACATGGCACCATTCACCCCTAGTGTCCATATTTGCTCTGCATGCTTGCTGGACCCTTCTCCCATGGTATAAATAGCCAGCTTCTGTATCCTAATAATCTTCACCTTCCCCTCTCCTCATCCACTCTCCCTTCTTTATGGTCTGCCATGCCTTCAGCTTCATGTATAACTTGTCAGTTTCCTTTGCTGTCTTTCTCTGCTGCTGTTCATCAGTGTTGTTATATGTACGTAGGGTGGCTGTGTCTCTGATAGCTTCTTCACTGACCTGGAAGTCTTTCTGCACATTTTCTCCATGGTAAAATGGGAGCCTGAAGATCTGCACATTTTGGAAAGTCTTTACTAGCTCCCTGCTGAGCCTTGCAAAACCCTGTTGATTAAACTTTTTTTTGTGAAATGAGTTAAAACCAGAAGTCTGTACAGTTTTATGAGAAGCTTACATTCTTTACTTGAAGTACTTACAGTTTCAACTTTAAATAACTTGCAGATGAAGGATTTACCTTCAACCCTCTGAAAATAGACGTCTTTGTTCAGACTCTGCTCCATCTAGCTGCAAAGTCTTTCAGCCACTCCTTCAGTGCCCTGGCAAAGTAAGTGTAATATATCCATTTTTGGGGGGGCTTGCACGACAGTTTAATTCTGACAGTGAAAGGCCTGGTAAAAGAACTGGACTGTACGCTTCAGCAATTTTTTAGGCGCTCCGCAATGCGATGTGATTAGGAGAACTATTGACACTGCTTACTGAAGGAATAGTAGTGTAAATCCTAGGTTATATATATGTGAATGGAATTCACAGAAATGTGTATGTTACAGCCATGTGGTGTAAATCGAACAAATGAGAGGTTTAAAACATTACCCCATTTTAGAATTACTCATTTGCTGATTATGGTGAGGAGCAAGGGTTTCTCCTTACGTTTGAATAATCAGGTAGCTCCCACTGCAATGTTTTGTACTATGAATCTGACTCTAGAACAGTTACATCTGTATAAAAAATGAAGGAAAAAGAAAACGTGAAACTTCAAAGCAGTCTGCTGTTAACTTTTTCTATCTACCAAAGCACAGTAAAATCTATTCTAAAGTAGAGTGCATCCCTTAAAGATATGCTTTAGCTTCTGAAGAATTTACTGCACTTTTTTAGCAAAATGATATAAAATAACTAATTTTTAATCCTGTGTGCTTTGGAGTTGCTCTTAAGTGGTCTTGATACATGAAAGGTACTCATATACATCTTAATGAGTTGTTTTTCTATCTGTCCTTAAAGATATATAAAGCTGTTACAAAAACATGCATCTGGGAGCTTTATAGAGACAATGTTGATAAGAACCTGTAGGTAGTAACCTGCAATCAGTAGTATAAGAGGTGAGATGATATGAATACTTAAAGCCGTCGTATTTTCACTGCTACACACCAACAGTGGCAGCATGAGGTCAGAAACAGCCTCTTAAGCTTTATAGTTGTATCACAATAAGCCGGGTTGTGAATGCTGTGTAGCAGTCAGTGTAATTGTGCTAAAATACAGTCTTTTAGCAGCATTTCCTTCAAAAAGAGGCAGAGTGGATAAGTGTGTAAAATTACAGAAACACATATAAAGAGGAAGGTCTGAGGCTCAAAAGGCAGCAAATTTTGCTCCAGCTGTGTGTAGATAAGCACACAAAGCATGAAAGTGCCTCCTGCTTTTAAGAATATGAGAAATGTAGCCCAGCTTCAGGGAGTAGGTTCATCACTAAGATTTAAGTCGCTTTTAGGAGCTGCCATGTCTTTGTAGCCTGTTTTAGCTTAGGATGGTTATATTTTCCAGGGAACAGCTGTTTAAGAATTGCTGTAGATAGTAAAAAAAAAAAATTATTTCGCCAATCTAAACCACTTGCTTTGTATCTGTTGCTCTTTTGATCTGATCCCAACCCCTCCACTGACTACTTGCGTCTATTAAAAGGTTTCATGAAGTCTTCAAAACACTTGCTGAAAGTGATGAGGGGAAACTCCATGTTCTGAGGGTTGTGTATGAGGTTTGGAAGAATCATCCACAGGTAAGAGGTTGCAATGTCAAGTATCCTTGTGAGTTTCAGCTAGCAGAGGTCATATTTAATAAAAAACCTTATAGTTTGCTTTATGTCCTTCAAAAAAAACTTTTCTATTGTCATCTTCTTTGAAGGAAAGTTCAAATTGTATTTACTTTTGTTACTAGTGCCTAAAATGAAGGCTGGACGTAAAATATATACCATCAGTGAGGCCATTTCTTCCTCAGAGTTCATTGTGGGAGGGCAAAGGCTATAATTCTGACTCAGATGCATACTATGCTGTTTGTTGTACAAGAGAATAACTTTTGCTAAAATCATGTTTCTGTTCAAAATTGGAAAACAGCATAGATGTGTAAATTGAAATAAGATGTAGAGGACATATCAAAAGCAAGCCACGTTCTTAGAAATGTGGAAACCTGGGGATTTTTAGGAATTTTTTTTTTTCAGTTGCTAGTGAAAGCCATACAGTTATTCCACAAAGCTTGTGTTGGAGTCACTGTTGTGTGTGAGCAGAGTGAGTAGAGCTGCGGTCAGGGGCTGTTCAGAACAGATCAGTCTGACAGTGCCATGATTTTCTTAAGCCAGAGGAAATAACACCCTGAAAGGCCTATGAAAAATGCCTCGCTTGTTTGACCTGTTCAGTTTCTTCACAGCAGTTGTTTTCTCCCTCAGCTGGCATTCTTCTATAAATAGAAATGTATGAGGAACTCAAGCTGAATGTGCCTGCATTAATTATTTCACATATTCCTTACTGGTGTGTTTGTGTTGCACTGTATCGTGCTTGAAAGTGGACTGTACCTCACAGCTATGTAGTCTGGACTTTCAGAAGCGATGCCACTGAGAAAAAGGGGTAATCCTCGCACTTGCTACTAGGATCTGTGGTCCATTCCCTCAGGGAAAAACTGAGCACCTAGAAGATACCTA